AAAAAAAAAAAAAAAAAAAAAAAAAAGCAGAGTACTGCTCGTGGTGGTGTGCACCACCCAAAGCCAGAGCCCAGCTGTCCAGGCTACACAGTGCACTGGCCAGGCTTTGTGCAGGAGGAGTAATGTGGCTACATCCCCAGGACTCCAAGTAAGGCTGCTGGGGCCAGTCCAGTGCTGGCCCCAGCCTCCCCAACTCCACCCGGGGCAACTTGCCATGTGCCAGAGTGCACATAGCACAGGCATTCCCCAGAGACAACTAGCAGCAGCACAAGATGTGGTGCTGCTAGTTGTCCCTGGGGAACCAAACATCCATGTACGTCTGGACATGGCCATTTTGTTTGGAGAAGTGAAGATGGAGAGGGGGATTTAATACCAGCTTTCAACTACCTGAAGGGTGGTTCTGGAGAGGATGGACATGAACTGTTCTCAGCGGTGGCAGATGATGGAACAATGGTCTCAAGTTGCAGCAAAGGAAGTTTAGGTTAGATATTAGGAAAAACTTTCTCATGAGGAAGGTAGTAAGGCACTGGAACAGGTTACCCAGAAAGGTGGTGAAAGCTCTATCCTTGGAGGTTTTAAGCTCTGGCTAGACAAAGCCTTGGCTATGATGATATAGTTAGAAAATTCTGCTTTCAGCAGAGGGTTGGACTAAATGACCTCCTGAGGTCCTTTCCAACCCTAATTGTCTATGATAATATGTGCTGTGGGTAGAAAAGAATGAAGTTGCAATAAATCACCTTGTGTGTAAGACCATAAGAAATCTTAGGCACAAAAAGGATTGTACAGCCTCAAACACTTTTCTTTAGCTTGAGACAGAGGCCTAAATAATAATGTTAATTAAAATTTAAGACATGTAGGTGATAAGTCACTTACATTGTGTAATGCGAATTGTAAACTCCTGCAGCCAGGTCTTATTTATTCTCCATGTGCCTAAGTGGCAAATATTTGGGTGCATAAGAGCAGCTTTGTGCATGTACCGTACTTTGGGATTCTGTTTCCAACTCCGTGACATGAAATTGCTCAGTTGCTGCAAAAGGGAGAGGAGCTGTCCTTGCTGGAAAAGGAGAGGAGTGCCCTTCAGCTTTCAGCCCAATAGCCTTGTGTAGGGCTGTAAAACTTCTCTGTGGTTAGGGGCCATAGGCCACATATTGCACAGGCCACATACCCCCTGGACACAGCCTACACACCACGCAGTCATACCACATGCTCCCACCACCACTGCACCATGTGGCGGACGCTGCCCTCTGCCCCACCCTGCTGCAGCATACCAGTGCCCCTGCACCCTGGACACCGCACTGCACCATGTAGGCCCCCCTCCTTACACTTTGCTGGCATCCCCGCACAGGGTCCCTTGTCCCTCTGAGCTGCCCAGCTGTACCCTCTCATGAGCTGTGCTGCTCTGCTCTGTCCCAGGGGTGGGGGCAGAAAGCAGAAGCCAGATGAGGGAGAGGAAGCTTAGAGATTGTCAGCAGCAGTCACTGAAGCAGTGGGGAGAAGTGGTGCCTGAACTGAGATCCTGGAGGCTATAGGTGGTATGCATCACCAGTTGGACAGCCCTGGCCTACTGGAAGGGTACTTGCTCAGGGAGAAGGAGACCCAGATTACAGATCTTCCTCACCTAAAGGTGGGTTAAATCTGTATCTCCTGCTTCTGTGGGCCAGGCCTAAAAGCACTACATGCTACTCTCATTAAAGTTGGGCAACTGCATCTTGCATCTACTGTTCATTGGATAAAATAGATAAACAGCACTGGGAGTGTTCATGCTCCTTTGGTAGCAGGGTTCTCTCCCTTCACTGGGCCACAAACCCTCTGGCCTGTTCTGTTCCTCCTGGTTCTGCATATCTGCATGTCAGTAGTTATTCCAAAGCAAAATGAGTGTAAGGCATTTTAGTAACATCAATGGTGTTATCGTCACACAGGAATTACTCGGTTTATCAAATGATACCAGCAGCCAAGAAAGACATGAAGTGCCACAGAATTATTTATGAGGCAAGACAGAAATTAAATATTTAAAAATAGAGGAGGAAATAAGAGCTTAGAAGTATTTTTACTGCCTAGAACTTTTTTTAATGATTTGTGATTTGCTTTTGAGGACTGAGAAATAATGATGGTAGGATAGAAGGTAAAGTAAATGAGGTTCCATCTTTGAATTCACTGATGGTCATGGTTTGAATATCAAATCTGGTATAGCTTTTTCCATGGGACCCCAAAGAATATTGCTTCTCAATTCTTTTTTTTTTTTTTTAAAGAAGTAATTAAGGCTTTAGGAATCTTGTTTCATATTAATACCCTAAATGAAGACACTTGTGAATTTTCTTATGTTGCTCCTTAGAGCTGAATCAATGTGAATGACAGGAGTAAACATCAATCAGATGAGTGCATTCTGTCCAAATGCTTCTGATGAGATCCATAACTTTTAATATGATTACTGAGTTGAAAAAAATGATGTCAGACATCAGTTAAAAATATTAAAGAAATAAATTCAATCTCAAATCCCAAAATATTTCCAATGCAGGTACATAGAAGGTTCCCTCAGCAGGAAAGGTCTTGCTAGTTTAGCTCTAGATTGTGAAACTCCTTCTCATTTTAAAGTCAGTGGAACTAGTCAGAGAAAGGTACTACTTCAGGCTCCATTCTTTTTTAATTTTAGTCTTCTATTCCATTTGTGCATTTAGGGGTGGTTCCTTAAAAAAATAAGGTACTACCATCATTTCTTGAGACCTCAGAACAATTTACTCAAGTGCTTGAATATACATGGCTATAAAATGGTTCAGAGTTTGTTTGTTTTTTTTTAATTTTAAGATCCTGTATTTTGATACATAATTCTATGGCACTATCCTTAGAAATTAAAATAAGAAGATATTCTGCTAATTTGAGGTCATACAGCCCATCTTACACTTTAAATGTTTATATAACAATAAATTGAAGTGTTTCTGAAGCAAATATCAGGACTCTGAAATAATATTATTTTCTTTAACAGACTGTCACAGAAAAGCATAAAATGAATGTACCAGAAACTATGAATGAAGTCCTTGATATGTCTGATGATGAAGGTATATAAAAAAAAGTAAAATTTTATCTACTTTAAGTCTACTTGCTGTAACATCAATTGTTATTAAATTCATTTTTTGCTTACTGAATGATCACTGTTGCAAAATGTTTTATTAGCTATGGCACTAAATTGTTTTATTGATATATGGATATTCAACTTTTTATTTATTTTATTTATTTAAATCAGCAGTTCGTAAAGCCAATGTCCCTGAAATTCTCAGTGATGGTGAATATATATCAGATGTTGAAGAAGGTATTTGTGCATTTTTGTATTGCAGTGAAGTTTAACCTCATTTTTTAAAATGTCCTATGTGTAGAAATTAACTCTTCTTAAACTAACTTTAACCATTATTACCCTGCTAGCAACAATTTGTGCATTATACTAAGTGTGCTTTCAAAAATTCTCTGACTTCTGATTAACACTTTAATTTTTTGTCATAACTTTTGCTTCACTCTTAATTAAGTAACGACTAATTTTCTGGGATATTCTCTCTGCTGCAGTTTCTATTATAAAGAGAGAGAAATAGTTTCTCTATTTTAAAATTTAAAAGGTACATATTAGACAGACATATTGAAATATTTGGGGAGATGGCTAACAATGTGAGAACTGTTAGGATTTTTTAACATCTCTGTAAAATGAGTATTGGGACTATTGATTTTTAAATTGATAGTAAGTGCCTGATATGAAAAGAGCTGCTAGAGTTTAAAAAAAAAAAAAATCATTTAGTGTAACACCACAGAAGTTTACACTTTTATTGCAGTATGAGGATGATGTGCTATCATGACTAACATGTGTTAGGGTGTTACAGAGTGAACGTATCTGTTAGTACTGAATTAGACTGTGAAGTGCTGTGCAATAATAAAGGGACTCCATTTGGATTGCAAGAATTTGGGTCTTTATTAGAAGAGCCATGTGCTTGGGTGCTGCTGCTTGCAACTATGAAGTGCAGTGTGTGCTCAGAGCCATTGTGAAATTCTCTAAGCAGTTGAGATTCCTGGTGTCACCCTCTAAATCATCCTCACTACAACTTGTTTTCCAACCTACAGGTATTTGCAGGTTGTTACAACATTAAAGCCACGCATGGGCAATTATTTGGGCTGGAGGGCCACTTAAGGAGTTTTGGGCCACTTAGGTCACCTTTCCCCCCTGGCCTACAGCAGCTCACCAAAACTCTAAGTGGTAGATTACTAGACTGGTTCAGGGGTGCTGGATGAAGCAGGAGGGTGGGGTCTTCATGGAGACCAACCTGGAAACCCTGTGGGCAGGACACATTCAGCTGAGCAGATGGAATGAGGCTGCAGGCATGCAGGGCAAATGCCCAGGACAGAGTTGAGATCTGTTCCCCATATGGCCCCACACTTGCCTCCCCACAATTCTGGCCATGGCCCCACTTACCCTCCCAACTCCTGGACACTGCTCTCCAGCTGCCCATGGCCCCATCCCATCCGCTTGGCTGCAGGGGCCCTGGGCCCGTCTCCATGGAAACCCCACTTGCCCACACTGTCTGGTGCCTCCAGTGGTGGGTACAGTGGGCAGACAGGCTGAGATGCCCAGGGCTGGTGGCAGTGCCCCTGCTGGTGGTTGTGGAGCAGATAGGCCTGCAGTGCCTGGGGTCTGACAGGAGCAGGAACACTAGCAGCAGCAGCTGGATGGAGCCGCTGCTGGAAGCTGAGTCCAGCCACTGCATTGACCCAGCCCCACTGCAGCTGGGGATGGCAGGACTGGCTGCATGCGACACAGTCTGGGATGCCCCCTGCACCTGGGCCCCGTGGGGCTGAGGGACCTGCCACAGGTGAGAGAAAATCCCTTGGCAGGCTGATCCAGCCCTTAGGCCATATTTTGCCCACTGTTCTTTAAGCTCAGCCCTATGTAAAAGGAGATACACAACTGTGCCACCTCAAGAAGAAGCTGCAGCTCGCACAAGGTCCAATTAATGAGTCTATGTATAGTAAATTCTGTGTATGGGGCCTTATTTCTGTCCCCACATTTTCAGTACCATCTATGTAAGGATTTTGAGCTACTTGCTGCAGCCATTACTACAATGATCCTGAGATACTCAGAAAATCCTTGCTCACCACTTTCCCTGTTTCCTCCCCCCAACCCCCCACCTCCCCGCAAACCTTTACAAATGCAACAGTGCAAAGACCCTTGCTTTCTCTGTCTTGATGAAATTCATCATCATGATGAAAACAATGCAACAGGCTTTTGTTATTTTCCATTGTGTTCCTTTTAGCTTGCACCAGAGCTATAATTTCTTTCTGTGTAGCAGTTACTGAGGCATTAGTTGCAATTTTCCTCATTCTTTCTATTTAGTCTGTCTTCTGATTTCATGCTTCTCAAGAAGTTCACTTTTAAATTTCCAAACTTCCTCTATAGTATTTTAAAAATTTGAAAAAAGCCCTTTTAGCAAAATGTTAAAATCTTTGTTAAAATGTAAAAACTATGTTAAATTTTTAGTTCATGGTAGGGGGGCAGGCTTTTTTTAATTCAGAAATTTTCAGCATGTTCGTTCCATTATTATCTCCACATAGTTAATATCCTTATAATCTACTTTTTTTAAAAAAAAAAACTCTCCTAGGTTGTCATTTTCTAATTGTACTTTTCATAGCATAGAACAAAATGATTATAGCTGGCCTGAATACTAATTTATTACAGTGTTCATTAATGTAACAAAAAATAATAGTATATTTGCTAGTGCTAGAATAAAAACTCATTTGTCTAAAAAGCCAGGTGAGAAACATTTAAGTATGGACTGGCAATCACAGAATTTACTATTTAAGGCATTGCTGTAATGTTGCAGCATCTATAGATTCAGTACTAGTCTTATAGTTCTATGAAAGATAGATAAATTCACTAAATTATATTTAAAAGACAGTTTTAAAATGTTAAATAATATTATGAATGCTTCAAATAGTAGAATCATAGAAAAGTAGGTCTAGAAGGGACCTCCAGAGGTCATCTAGTCTAGTCCCCTGCCTATGCCAAGATCATCCCTATACAAACCCATTGTTCAAACTCTTAGCAAAAGTACATGGTCAACACTGACAACCACAAGACTAACACCTTAACCTGCCACAGGTAAAACAGGGGGACCGCAGTAGACAATGTTCTGCTGTGAAGGTTGTTAAAATATGCTCAAAAGATCTAAGGAAGAGGGATACAACCCCTGCTACAGAGGAAAGCAAGGGGAAGAGGGATACACGGTCTGTATCAACCTGACTGGGACCCTGGTGATTGGTCCAATCCTGAGTGAAGGGGTAAGACTCTCTAGCCATGAACCTCTTAGTTTAAGTCCCAGCAGAAGCACTGGAACATCCCTGTCAAAACAGCAGGCAGGCAAAGAAAAAAAATCTTCCTAGTCCTGGGAAGCAACTAATAAAGCCCAGAACCATGGGAAATCCCCATACAAGAACATAAAGCATAACTACTCCTAGATCATCCCCAACCAATGCTTATCTAGCATCTTCTTAAACAACTCCAGTGATGGAGATTCCACAACTTCTTGGCAGTCTGTTCCACTGCCTTACTGTTCTAACTACGAAGAAGTTTTTTTTTCCTGTTATCCAATCTAAACTTACTGTTCTGCAACTGCAGGCCATTAATCTGTGTCCTGGTCTCTGCAGCAAAGGAGAAAAGGTGTTATCTTTCTTTTTTGTAGCACCCCTTCAAGTATTTGAAGACTGCTATCATATACCTTGTCAAGTGCCCTTTACAAAAACTAGCAATCGGGACTCATAGTAAAGGTGATATCTTTTATTAGACCACTTAGATTTTTGAAAAAAAATCTTTAATTGCAAGCTTCCGGGCACAAACACCCTTCATCAGGCATTGGAGAAAACATTGTAAAAGTTCTCCTGGGTAGAAATGAAAGTTCATATTTCATAGAAGAGTTAATGGTGTGATAAAATCTCCTGTTTGGAAAAGTTCATTTTATATGCAGATTAGGCTCAGAGAAAAGTTGGAATAGTCTGTTTACCTCAATGTAGTTTGGTGGTAGGCAGAAGGTAGTCATATTTCCTCTTTACACAAACTAAACATGCCTATTTCCTTCAGCCAAATATGACTTGCTTTCCAACCCCTTTGTCATTTTTGTTATCCACCTCTGGACCCTCTATATTTGCTTCATTTCCTTTTTAAAATGTGGAGCCCCAGACTCTACACGGTACTCTAACCAGTGCTGAGTAAAGACTCATTATCACCTCCTGTGTCTTGCCTCTAGTGCTTCTATTGATGCATCCCAAAACCATAGTTGCCTTTTGTGCAGCTGCATCATACTGCAGACTTAAATTGAGTCTATGATCTACCAGGGCTCCCAGATCCTTCTCCATAATGTTGCCAATCAACAAGTTGTCACTCATCTTGTATTTGTTTCTGATTATTCTTCCCAACGTGTAGCACACTGTATTTATCAGCGTTAAACTCCAACCTCTTAGATCCAGCTCAGCTTTCCAACTTGTCAAGATCCTTCCAAATTGTACTCCTGTCTTCCAACATATTCACAATCCTTCCCAGTCACATGCCATCTTCAAATTTGCTCAGGAAGCTCTCTATTCCAGCACCTAAATTATGCTCCTGCCATTTTGACATGGATCCATTTATAATTAAACTTTTTCTTGTGGCTATTCATCCAGTTGTCTCCCTACCTTTTAGTAGTTTTGTTCAGCCCACATTTCTCCTTATTTGTGAGACTGTCATAATGGACTTTGTCAAAAGCCTTGTGAAATCCATATACGTTATATCCACTGCATTTCCTTCATCCACCTAAGTAGTTACTTTGTCAAAGAAGGACATTACATTTGTTTGGCACAATTTGTTCTTAGGAAATTCATGCTGGCTGCTTGTGATCTGCTTTTTCTCCTCGGGATGCTTACAAATGGATTTCCATATGATATACTCCAGTAACTCCCAGTAAGTAGATTATTCTAAACCAATACATTGCTGCCTCTATCCAGTTTCATAACCCAAAACATGTCATTTTTAGACCTTACCTCCATAAGTAGGAACTCTGGGCCAGATTTAGATTGCCTCAGCAATTTAGATTCCCCATCTTCCCAGAAGCGGGTTTCTTCTTGCTTGTTAACTCTGAGTCCCACAACACTGACATATTTGTTCTTTTAGGAGGCCTAGCTTCCATAGGAGGAATGGTGAGGGCTAACTTACCCTGTTCTTTAGCCCCATGTAACCTATAAAACACATGGTCACAGGAGCCCATGAGCAGTGCCACTCCCTTCCCCTCAGCCACTGTGTGACACAAAGGGACAAGGTTGGGCATGGTATGAGACAAAAGTTCTGCCCAGCTGCCCACCACTTCTGTGGCCACCACAGGAAGCTGCCTTGCTGGGAGGCATGGGGCTGTGCTCCATTGGTCTGTCCTACCTCCAAGTGCTGAGAAGCAGCTGGTTACACACGTGCATGGAGAGTGCAAGGCAGCCAAAGCCCATGCCACTTGCCCCAATTCCCCTGTGTGTTCCACAGCTGCCCACAACAGCAGTGGTTTAGCCAGGACATGGGGCTCAGACCCTCAACTTGATCTGCAGCCTCCTCTGGGCATTAGGTAAAGTGTGCCTGGAAGGGCCAGGAGAGGCAGGAGGGCCAGGGGTCTGGAAAGGACTGCAGCTGAGAGAAGGGGTGGGGGAAGAAGCAAGGTGACCTGGACAAAGCCAGACTTTCTGACCTTGGATATGGTGGCTCTTGGCCAAATGCATATACTGCCTGCCTGCCTGCCTGCCTGCCCAGAGTGCTGGTGGACTTCCTATTCACCCAGAGGGCTGTTTTTACTGCCTCTACAATTTGCCACCCTAGGCAGCCACCTATGCTATGCTGGCCTTGTATAGAACTCAAGTCTCTCACTTCCCAGGGTGAATGCTGTAGCTACT